GCTCCCTGATAAAAAATACTAGGCATATTGATCACATATTATTTTTCAGCTTATATATATATATAATAAACTCGTTTTGTAGCATTTAATAAAAAGATAAAACTTCTATAAACACACTATTCATTACACTATTACTGAGTGGAAAACCTGGTTAAGCCACTGCTCAAAAAACAACACAAATGTTAGATATTTTGCTTTTTAACATAAGGATGGAAAACATATATATATAGTATATCCTCATGTTACAACAAGGTTTTAAAGATGCTATGATTTACTTTAAACAAATCTGGAATCCAACTGTTAAAGTTAACATTATGAACCTGTAAATGTTTTCATATGATAAACTTCACATTCAAACCTGTCATTGTTATTATACACTAGTGTACCAAGAATAACAAGTTGCAAATGTTGTGTTGATTATTAAACTATTATAAAAAGTAACTTTAAATCCAGATCTGATATGGGTCATTTTAGGCCCTTAATGTTTTTATTATTATTTAATAGTTTCCAATTTTTATGTTAAGAAACAAAAACCTTCTAATGAGTAATTTGTGGAATTTTACTATAGGAGATCAAGAGATTCTCCATATGGATTATGTTCACCTCATAGAAAAAGGAAATGGAAAACCTCGAGAAGAAATTCATGTGCAAAATGATAGTTTTGGGAAGATATTAAACTTTTCCGCCGAATTTCCTTTTAGTTGGCTTGTCATCCAGCATGTAGAAGAAATGAAAAATGTAATTCTTCAAGAAAAAGGTAAAACTCTTAGAAGAGGAATAGGTTTCAGTGAATTTTATTGCATGCAAGAACTGTATTAAACATTTGAAGGCAGTTACTTTACTTAGTTCAAGTAGAGTACTTTATTCATAAATGTACGTATAAAAACTATGAATGTTTAGGCAATCTATTTTTATTTTTTTGCAGTAAGGTTTTTTTTCCTGAAGTTTTATTATTGGGATTTCAAGAATTAACATAGATGTATTATAGATGTTAAATATATTATGTTTTTAATATAAACATGATAACAAATAGCTTGTGTTTGATATGGTCATTTTTTATTGCACAAACAATGACATCCACTTTAGCTTGTGATATTTGCCAGTTCGCAGTATTTTACCCTAAAGATAGTCTAACTTCTGTTGAATTGTTATTTTAAAATGAATTGGTTCACTAAGTTTAATTTGTATGAGCATGTTGTTCCAGATCTGTGTATCAATACCAGGAATAGGAATTTAACATTTGTGAAATGTAGCATACTACACACCATATCATAGTGAAAGAGTTAGAAGTGTTTATAACCATAGGTCAAATATTATTCGAGGTTCAGACATTTTGGGAAAAGGATGAAACCTTATGAATATTAAAGTGAACTATTAAAACTAATATCTAGAGTTGGTAAAACTGTAGTTTTTTCTTGAAAACATGAGAATTTTTATAAAGTTAAAATTCTAAATTAAATGTAAGTGAATGATATAAGTTTTTTTTGGTAAGCTATAGAAACTAATGTTTTCAGTATGTGCATCATACACCAACAATTTAGCTTATGAGATTAATAGTATGGATACAAACGTTGCTCAATTGATACTAATTTTTTAAGTTTTAAAATTATAAATTATTATAACACCAGAAAATTAAATAAAATGGCATTATCTTAAAAAAGCACTTTAATAACTTGTTGAATAATTTACTGTTAACATGTTTTTATAAAATAATGTAGCTTTTTTTTTATTAAAGGGTTATTATACTTGGATAAAGTAAAGCTGAAACTGTTACTAAATAATATGACCTTTCAAAATTTTGCTAATATTTCATCTTTCATGTGCTTGTCAGTCCATATCTGTATTTGTTGTGTAGTCATATATACCATATAAATAATCAAATAACAGACTGAAACAGTTAAAGTACATTAGAAGATTTTTTTCTTTTTTTAATTTTAATATTTGATCAATGCAAAACACTTTTTTTAGATGAAATGCCAAACAAAAGTATTATTGATAGACACACAATTTATTGTAATCTTTGCTTATTGTTATATTGTATGATTTGTCTTTGCAGTAGCAATTCAACAGAATGAAGAAAATATTTTGCAAAAAACATTTTCTCTGTCTAAGTTGGGAGTTGTTCTTAACCAGTATATAAGCAGAGATGCAGAGGGTTTCTTTAACCGATATCTTCATGACTTTATTCATATTCATTACAAGGTTAACTCATATGATGAGATTGTGGTAAGTTTTGATAAAGTCAAAAATGAGAGCTATTTTATTGTTCATTACACCTCAAAATATTTATTTTAGATGTACAAATTATTTTTCATTATAAAATTGTGTCAACATTTGTTGAGCTGAGTATATGAAGTTAATGATCTGAACTATAAAACAACTCAGTCTTAAATTTTTGTTTCTTTATGACTGGCCATCTTATTTGCACCTTGATAATAGAGTTAGCAGAAAGGATCACATTAAAGTGTAATAAACTTAAAATAAGACCCAAAACTCAAGCACTTTCGAATAAGAAGAATAGTCAACTATTCGAAAGCGCTCAAGTTTTGGGTCTTATTTTAAGTTTACTTGCACCTTAATATTTATAAATCAGTAAATAATAATTCATCTGCAAACTGATTGCATTATTGAAAATAACATATATATAACTATTTTTAGTGTGTTCATACCTGGGATAATAGTTATAACATTTTATATTCTTCATCAGTTACACATGTAAATAAGGTTGAACCTATTAAAACCTATAGCTCATGGCAGGAACAAAAGAGAAACTGAATTTAAACTTCTAAGTTAAATTTGTTGAGTGGGGCTGAATTAAACAAACCAATCTCACTTGAAGTTGTCAAATCAGACTCAAAATAAAACAACAGAAAGTTATATATATTTTTTTTTTTTATAAAGACTCAGTGAATGAGAGGAATAGATTTTATCATTGACTTATATGTGCTGTGAAGTAAATATTAACCTCATGGGCAACAAAAACAGAATTTAGAGAATAGGTCACAAAATTGCCAAGTTTTATATATTTTTATTTCTGGAAGATAACGTTAAAGCTTTATAATCTGTTGGAGAGAGCTAGCCTAAAATGTCATCTTTCAAAAATAAAACTATATAAAACTTGTCAATTTTGTAAGCTAATCATTAATTTCTTGTATTTGCTGAGAAACAAGCAAACAGTATATGGGATACTAAAAATAATTATAATAATTAATAAATAAAACACCATATATATAGTATATGGAATGTTGGTTAATGTACAAATATATAATCAGTAAGCTAGATATATCAAGCAAGTATTTGGATGGGTTTTAGATTTTTGTTCTTAATGAAATATTTTCATCAATGCAATTCCAGTTATATAATTGGCAAGCTTTTAGCTTTTATAATGTTAAAAACGTCCATGTTTAGCACACATTAAAATGTTACACTAGGCCATGCTTAGTATTTCTTACTAGTTTTTTTCTCAAACAGCACAAGTGTTAACTATATATTCATGTAAAATACAGTAAAGCAGTGTGATTGTCTCTTTTCACACAATGTAGGGGTTTTACCATTAGTGTTAAGTAAGGGAAATCTAACATTTTATCATGAACAAAGTATAAAAATACACTGATCAGCCTTTTTTATTAGGACCTTCTGTACACACACTTGTAGAACAGTGATATTTTTAGATCTAGTGTATAAATCTAGATATGTAGTTGTATCATGGTTAGTGATCAGTGCAACCAGGTAAAGAGTGAAATAAGATATTGTGTGGTTCTTTTTGTCCTTCTGCATAAGTACTGCAGTAAGTTTTTATTGGCCCTTACTCTTGTTATAAATCTGTTTGTGTTCAAATTATATTTCTTTGTTTACTTTACAACATGTAGTATATATTTCAGTTTGTCAATTGTATAGCTGTATAAAGTACTTTAAAACTTTATATGTTTAGCTACTAAACATAAACATGTTAAATGACAGCATTAAGGCTTTAAATTCACTAAAATTCTAAATCTACATAAAACACAAGTAAAAAGCTCCATTGGAAATTCAAAAGAACTTTTAAGAGGGTTAGTTAATTTGTGTAGTAATTTTTTTTTAATCATCGAATACTTTAAATTTTTGAGCATCACAAGTGATGATAAGTTAATATGATATGTTTTATAAAACTTGTAGTAGAGCTTTCGGGGTTAGAATAAGAAGGTATCTGTAAAAATGCCTTAAATATTTGCCTCCGTTACAAGTAATGCTGATAATATGTAAATATGTGTCATTAAGATCTTATATTCTGTATGTTTGTGTATGTTTTCTTTACTTTATTACCAGATACTGTCTGAAGGTTTCAAGTCTGCAGTGTTTGAAAACATTAATGATCCCAAAAGAAAAGAATCAAGTATAAAAGTTGTAGACAATGAATTTAAACTATGTTGGCTATACATACATCTAGTCAATGACTTGGTTTATGAACGACTACAGAATGTTCTCTACCTCACAACTACCTTTCCTGATATTTCTCCTTTTTTAAAAGATTATGTACAAAATAGATCTGTCTTGGAAGAAATGGTAGAGAAGCATTTTATATTACATATATTATTATTTATGTTATTTAAACTATGTTGTGAAGGTACTCTCAGTTTGATATATATATTTTATATTACATATATTATTATTTATGTTATTTAAACTGTGTTGTGAAGGTACTTCTCAGTTTGATATATATTTTATATTACATATATTATTATTTGTGTTATTTAAACTGTCGTGAAAGTACTTCTCAGATTGATATATATTTTATATTACATATATTATTATTTATGTTATTTAAACTATGTTGTGAAGGTACTTCTCAGTTTGATATAAATTGTTACATCTCTGTTTGTTTGTTAATTTTCTGTAAAAATTCTTTCTGAAGAAACTTTAGCAATACAAGTCCTTTCCCAAACAAAACCATTCTACTCCTTCTCAACTCAACCCTGCAACACACTTTAATTTCCACAGTCACTTCAAACACACGCTATAATTCACAATGATCCTCGCACCTACTTGCAGTCACTACCCCGCTTGACTCAATTGTCCATTTCTATCTCTGCCTGTCTGCCATTCAATTCCATTGTTACCGTCACTTCTTGGCAGTCTTATATACAAGAATACCGCACATCTAGTAAACACTCGAGCATTCACGAACCTTCGAGAATATCATGACGTGTTACTATCGTCA